TACGCAATGTTACACTGGCTCACATGCGTTTTATTCGCTCTGTGATTCATCGTGAAGAAGAACACGAACATTTCGTTCACTTATTTTAAATGCTTGCAGTAACCATGTAATCAGTAATTTGCACTCTTTTTTAGCCATCTTTTGTTCTGGTTTCTTCTCTGCAGAGACTCAGTTTCTCGAACGAAGATGTTCTCGATGTGCTGTTGCTTAAAGGCAAACCTGTTGAAGCGTTGAGGTACGTGAGCTGTATTTTTATTGATCAGTGTGTGGGGCTTAACAATAGCTGACACTTCTTTTTGGACAACAATTTACATAGACACACACTCACAGACGTCATGCCACAAATTATTTTTCGTCAGTTTGTCCACCTCACAAATCAAGTGAATCTATCCTAGACACTATCCAAATGAGCGGCCAAAAGACAGCAACCAAAACCGGCCCACGAAAATGCATGGTTAATGGTTATTAAAACTGAAACTGAAACACTATCACTTGTTTGTGGAGTCTTGTGTTCGCTGAGCTTGGCGTTTAGATCGCAAACGTTTCATCACCAGCCGAAGTGACATCGTCAGTGCACCTCGGCTGGTGATGAAACGTTTGCGATCTAAACGCCAAGCTCAGCGAACAGAAGACCCCACAAACCATCAACCTGGGCTACAAACCAGACACATATTCAAATCTATTGAAAACTATCGCTTCTTCCAGTGCTTTGCGATGTAGTAGAGGTTTCCGCCAGTTTTCATTTTCTCAAGAACGTCACACTGATTCTTCGAATGGTGGAGCAATGTGGAGGTTATTGCAACTGTTTCTTGCTCTTATTTTATCGTCAGAGAAAATTTTTCTCTCTCAAACACCGATCTGTTTTCATCTGTTCAGGTTTTGTCAGATGCGTCCACATTTACTGCGACAAGATCGATCGTGGACCGCGGGAATTCTCACCAAGGCTTTGAACTCACCCGATAAGCGAGTGTTTTTTTCGGTCTACCGGTTTTTCGAGATGATTGATCTACAGAACAAGGAGAGCATGCCCTTCCTAACCGGTATGTCGGGATTGGTGGATTATGTTATTTCCGCTTAAACTAACAGAGTATTTTTCCTTGTATACAGTTTTCTCGTGCCTGAACGATTGTTGTAATCGTAGACGAAGATGTAAACGTTTTTCACTTTCGATCCCTACACGGTACGCTGTGTTCTCTTCATAGATGGTACCCTGTTCTCTCGCTCTATGTGTGTGGGTGAATTCTGGCGGGGCATTTCCAGAAACAGTGTGGTGTACAATAACTCATTCTAAATTTTAGATTGACGATTGGACACTGATTTATGGCAGCATGCACTAAACATATCAAGGTTCATTGCCACTTTCCAACCGTGATTTAGTTGTCCTGTGTAAAAAAGTTAACACAGTGGTGCAAGCATGAAAACCAACAACTCCTATTCGGACCTTCTATATGTTTACCACAGTCTGCTTTTGATCTTGTGGTATCCGGAATCATCAGGTATAATTAAAATCCGTCTAAAGTTTTCCGTGATGTGCCACTGAATACAACTGCATTTTTCATCTGAAACATTGTCCAATACAAAGCATATGCGTACCCGATCATCTACCGCCTTGTAATCCATTCCACGGTTTCCCATACCGGTTCTCACAGGACAACTTGAATTATCTCGGTTTCTTGGATTTTTGCGTTTAGAATCACCTATTAGACTGCTATGCTGAGATCACACGTTCATCCGCCAATTTCACTGCAGAGATCAATTTCCCGTTCTCAGATGTCGTTGACAAGTTGACCTTTTCTCCCCCTCATTGTTCAATTTTATCAAAAATTAATGTCAACAGTCAAATCTATCATCACGTGGTTGTTGAGGCACAAATAAATTAAGAGGATTTACCATTGACTTGACAGACTACAGAGCCGGACAGAGATTAACGCTTATAAACGGGGGACAATAGCACCCGAGTTTCATCCAAAAAACGGTTCTAAATATGTACGATTACAATGGTATAAAACACAAACCCTACATTGTGGCAATATCCGCAACCTGTAAAGCCAGTCGTCTAAAAACTGCAAACTGCTTGGGTACAAACGCTTATCGTGGCCTAATTGGCAGGATGAAACATGCAATGATAAGCGGCAGCGAAAGGCAACATTACTCCAACCCAGTACTTGAATTTGCGAATTGACTGTGCAGAATAAATGATGATAATTAAATTATTTGTAGCTTGATTCTTTGACTAATGGACATTCTATATCACCTACTTGTTTTAGACTTCAAGACGTGTTCTTGAAATTTGACCGATGAACATAACAAGGTTTTTATGCCCTGAAAGAAACCTTACACTCAACTACCTGATAGCCATTTAATGGTCGAGAAATATGTAGTCAGTTCACTTAACCAAATAACTGGGAGCTTAGATTTGCTGCTTAAATAAAATAGCTTCATAAAACGATGCAAAGGTCAGGAATATCCGAGCTCAAACAGACAGCGAATCAAACGTTACGGCGGCTCGTGCATCATTATTTAGTGCCGGGAAACTTGTCCATCAAACGAAGGTTAAACCCAGTCGAACCAGTTTCCGTTCACACCTGCGACAGAATGACGGCCCCTCCAATCAAGCAACAGCTTTCGCAGTAAATAAAATCCCATCGATTTCGCCAATTCGTCTGTTGGTGCTCGGTCATCTACCAAGGCAAAACCGAGCGTTAACATAGACAATGTAGCGGAGCCCATTTCTGTGTGGGTTAACAAACAGGTGAACGAATCACACCCGAATGATCAAGGTTAAAAGTCACCCCAGCACCATCGATTGCTCGTCACCTGTTGGAGACAGCACAAAACGAATGTAATCATCGCATTCGAAAGGGGTTTCTTCAATTCCAATTTTTCATTGAACGAGTTTGCCATAAAACAGTGAAAACCTGAACTGTGCAAGCAGATGGGCAAATTTAACACTAATAGTTTATCAACGGTAACTGGCACTTGTTAGTTCTCATTTCATTCTTCGACTATAGTGTATACCTGAGGAGATACAGCGAATGTTTTCAGGAAGTAAATTGTGCTACTGTGTTCTATATTGAAGTTCAAACCGAGAAAAGGATGATTCAAACTGACAATTGATTGTCGTGTAACATACAAATAACTTTGTCTGAACCATTTACCGGCATGTCGAGTCGGACCCGGTGTGAGAACGGACAGGAATGTTATCTCAATCTGGTCTAGGATAAATTGTATTGCCGGCTGAACTTATGTTGGGCTCGACTGCCTTCTAATGCTAATCTTAGCCTCAGGGTGTTACCGTATCCCGAATGAGGGCTTAGACCAGAGTGCCGCCACGTATCAGAGGAAATTAATATCCCTTAGAAGATGCGATCTCCGTTTATCAACCACCTAAGTGTTTGAATGAAAACTATTGTGAATCATTCTGTCACTGAAAGCTACGGTCTTGTGCGGAAAGTTGAGTTCCGGACTCCGCAGTTTATCATGGTGCGAAGAATTCGGACGCCTTGCCCACTAGCAGAAGGGCAGTAGTCGTTTACCGGTGCAGTCTCAGTACCCCACCGCAATCATGATGAATCTTAGTTGTTATGTCGTGTACATAATTGCGCATGACGGAGTATTTTAGTTTTGCACTACTGTAAACGAACCTGCATTTGAACACCCGGAGATAACGAGGAATAAATATGTACATTCTGAGGTTATAGTTTTCGAACTTGGTGAATTTGAGAAGGGATAAGTCACTGCAGTTTCATTTTCTCTAGGTAACTCGTGGGATATCGTCATTTTGAAATTCCAAGGCGTATGTAGCCTGAATCTGTCCTCCCATCATCTTGCCCGACTGCAGATTTAAATAGTGTGATGACTTCTGCACTGGAATGAGCCATTCAAGGTCAATGCGACTGTAATCGCCCCAAATCCACTACTATACTACATTTTGTTTTGTTCACAATCGAATTTGACTATTTGTTTGTTTAATCATCAGTTTGAGTCACAGCAGTGTGAAACGGCAATATTTGATTTTGCCTAAACACAAGCTCTAATTCATCGTCAGCAAAAATGATAATAGCCATCCGTGGCACTGCTTAACTACAGGTAAAAATCAATTAACCAAAACTGAATATGGAATCACAAATCAGCCGAGGATACTTAACTATAATTAGCTATTTTCGAAGAATAAATTTTTCTGTCCCATTCATTCTCAACTGTAAATTTTGTTCAGTAACCGAATAACTTTATACTGCAATCTAAAAATGAAGCAGACATTTCTGGTCCTTCTTATTTCCTCTTTCAAAATTATCGATGGAATGTATCTCTCTTTGTATATGTCAGGTAACATCACCCCATCCCCCATTGCATATTGTTTTGTTTCTACAACATTAGATAATACCAGTTAATCTCCAAGGGGAACATTTCATGTGCATAATGGTGACTTAGATCACTTTTGCTTTTCAGATTTATTGTGCTTTCCAGAGTATTTAGCTCTCGTTCCAATATGAATAGTCATACGTACACACACACCCAACTCTCATTTGAGTTTATATGTTTATATTTGTGTGTGTGTATTCCATCATTATGCTTTAGGTCAGCTCTAATATCGTCTAAGAGAGAACTTGTCAGAACACATGGTTTGTGCAGCAGCATCTATCGTTTTTTTCTGTGTCACATTGAACCGGTCATTAAAGTTGTGTGTCAACAGGATAACGTGTTTTTGTTGCATAATATTTTTTGGTGCGAATCACTAACCTAACTCGTAAATTGGTCCACTCAGATCCCGGTATGGAACAGTTTACTCGGGCTTTCACTACAATGTTTGGGACCTCACATCTTCTGACCTCGAACTGAAGCTCACGCGCAAGCTACATCAGACTATCCTGTGAACGCGTTGAAATATGCGTGCACACGTGTGATTGTCCCCTCAGCAAATGTCTATCCAAATGAGGATGTTTTGCGAAAGATGCACAGGTCTTTTGTGTACACGCTTCGTAAGCAATTCGCTTGCCCTCTTACCCTATCCCGCCTCGAATATTTACCCTGACTTGTGGTTGTTGTCACTTCATTTCCATATTATTTGTATTTTTCGGGCAATACTAACCATCACATTCCAGGAAGCTTATCTATTCTTTGTTTGACGGGAGGGTTGCGGCGATAATCATTGCCTTGCTATCATCTGTCCACTCGTCATCAGTTAGTCTAATAGGTTTGCAGTTCTTTGCAATCAGAAAACACTCTAGGAACGTTACTGGAATCAAAGATGCCAGTGGCGTATCATCACCCTTGCAAAATGTTCAACAGCACCTGTCAGTTATTGATCCAGGTGCCACCCACAAGATCAGGGTTCCCGTCAGCGCTGGCGCTTGTAACACGCTAGCCGCTTTACTGCAAATAACTCGGGCAACTCCGCTGAATCGTCCGCATGTTTTTCCACCCAGGGACAAATTCGGTTTCTTTCGATAACTATATTCCCATGGTGCTTGATACGCTTTTGATTTCATTTGGTCCCGAAAGCATGCAAACGTTATGACTATCAACCAAAATATATTTTTCTGTTACTGCTATATATATATATATATATTTAACACCGGCTTGAGATCAAGCTTGGTGCCAACGCCATGTTACTGCTATGGATTGATAATAATCAAGGCATAAAGTGCAACCTGGGCCCAGTATATATTAAACCCAGTCTCAAAGATTTACATATATGGAGCGGTTTTGGAAGAAGTCGAGTCACACCTGAAGAAATTCCATTGTCAGAACGGAACGTCGGCAAACGCACCATAAACGACCAGCGTTCGCATCACATGATCGACTCAGCGAATCTGACTGTACGATAAATGAGCAAACTAGTCACAATGGCCCAAACCTGCAGTCAGCCAATCGAGACTGTAACATTGTCGGTTCGTCGATCACGTCACTCCTGGCCGATCTATTAATCTGTATCCCCGCGTCTTTTCATCTGAACAATAAACCTTGCATCTCAGATTCGGAGCATAACAAAATAAAAGCACTCAAACAAGAAATTGGCCCATTATGGTTTATGCGAATGGAATGTTTTCACTGGGCAAAATGCATCACGGTTAATGTAAGCAAACCTACATAACAAATAGGTGATAATCTATTCGCTAAGAGCAGAATGAGATTATGGAATAATTATGTACAACTAGAAACTCTTCCCAAGCGGTGTATCGCGTCGATTACTGTCCGTGGACATTGAGTAGGCATGTCAATGTTATGCATGCACAGAATTGTCAAGATTTCTTTATTCTTTTCAAGTCCCATGGACAAAAAGAAGAGAAAGTAGACATAGAAACTTGAGGATACTATTACCTTTGTTCTTGTCGTGTTTTGAACGCCGGTTATATCTGGTGAATGTTTATTTGTCTTTCTTTCTGTTCGTGGGGAAACACAGGTGCAAAGTTCAGTCACACTGTCACACCGATAAGAGAGATCAAATTATTCAGTTTACTTGTTTGACCAGCACCAAGTAGTATAACCAGTAGAAACAATTGTAGATGAGAAAACAGGCCGGGAACAGGAAGCGACTATAACTGTCAATTTCATTGATCGGGGGTGGTTTCGGTGTCGTTTTCTTCGGTTCTGCTGACGGTGGTAGCAATGCATCTGTTTGTGCCGCCTCCAAAACATGCAACCCCGGTTCTCCGGAGGCTTGCTCGAACAAATCCATCTTGGTGGCACGTTTCTTATCCAATCGAGGTGATTTATACGGCGAAGTTTTCTCACTGACTAAAGCCATCAGTCCGGACTTTGTCATGCGGACAGACATGTGAGCAGGTGAATCCGGAATCGGAGTGTTCTCCATTGCGGTGGCTGCGGCCGAAGCCGAATTGATATAGTGTAACGTACGTTCGGTCAGTCCACGCCCGCCACTTGCAGTCAAGTAGGCCATCGATGCCGACGGGCCACGTTGTTGATACTGTTGATGACATGCCGTACACCAACGGGCCAGTTCACTTCGCACCGTTTTACGTACCTCATTTTGCCATTCGGATACCTTTTTGCGTCGGGACACATGAGACGCGATAGCGAATTCGAGAAGCACACCGGAATTGAATGTGATACAGGCCGTAGTCCACACGTCGATAGCTTTGATATAAGACACACGAGGTAGAGAACTGGCGATGCTGGTAGATTGTGTGATCACACCGAGCAGAGTGAGCAGGCTCAAATTCACGCGAGCCGGAATAGCTTCTAGACTGACCCAAAAATTCAACCACGAAACCACCATGATCAAAATATTGGGAAGGTATGTGCTGGCAAGCCAGTAACCCAATTGGCGTGAAAGGAAAAAGGTAGCATTTAGGCAAGTGTACTGTCCAGTTGACGTTTGATAGAGACTTGAACAGTCCTGAGGAACTACAGTTTTCGGGGGGTCAAATTCAGATATTTGCAAATCGGGCGGTAATGTGACGGGGGATTGATTGTGCCATATGAAACGTAACTGTTCCAATGTGTATCCGTAACTCCCAATATCCATGCCACAGTGTTGTGTATCCATCGGAAAAGTGTGTAATTCCATTGTACACGAGAAACGCATGGTGATTTTTTGACTATAAAGAACCTCCCCATTTGGTTGAATACGTATAAGTAAGTTTTCACAAGTCATTTTGTGCAAACGACCTTCTTTACCGTTACGAAAAAACAAGTCTGGAAGCCAAATTTTGTCTTTAAACACAGGCGAGACAATGTTCTTCTTGTAGTGGGCAAATTTTGGATTGTGATCCCATGCCAAACGTGGATCTTTCCAAGTTTGACGTAACAGCATATCCATCGTGTATTCCATATTCCTCACATCTACCGAGGTAATGGCCGAAATACTGATATAGACGACAACCACTGTCTGATTTCGAGACAACTCGTTCGGTCGTACATGACTCTGATAGTCGGCAAACATGGTTTCGACAATTTCATCTCGAAGCGAACTTGTGTTCAGAACAATCGCCCCTGATCCACCCATGCAGAGCATTAGGCCGAATGCGATACTTATCGTCGACTGCCACATTTTTTCGAGAGGGGGATAACACGCGTGTATGTTTGACTGAGAGCGTCAGATCCTGATGTACGTGGTGCAATTTGCTCACTGTCCGGTTAATTCAGTTAACTTATCTGAAGTAGATACGGTCGCGCTCTCTCGCCTTGCCTGTTCATTCACTTAGTTCATCGACCAATTTGCAAACAGACCCATATTCACGTCTGTCGTTGTACGTGTGTGTGTATACATTAGGTTGACATGCTGGAAAGCAGGCTCGTAAGTTCATCAATTCCTGTGTAGAGCACAGACGCACGGCACACGATNNNNACAAATCAGGTGGCAAACAGATTGACCAATCGTGTTCACCCCCTGCTGCCCTTACTACCTTTCCTAAAGGTGTCCGCCGAGGACAGACAACCCGAGGGAATCGGGATAGTATTTGGCCTGAATTCGAGGTCTAATTGGTCCAATTCCGCGCGTCAAGACTGAATGAGAGTGGGAGATATNGAGATATGGGACGGACAAAGAACCAAATTCCAGGTAATACCTCAACCTACTCGGAAAAAGACTGAGACAGATCGACGAGCATTGGACTGTTGTTGAGCTAGAGTCGAACGCTACTTACTATCTATCGATCAATTTAGCAGCCGGTTGATCTACGAAGGATGAGCCCAATCGACATGAAGGCGAAAAATCCCATGTTTTTTCCACGCTTCACATTGAGTGCTGTGGAAATCTGGCCTACAAATGGAAGCTCGCAAAAATAATCCAGTCATCTGCAAAATTGGCTTAAGAACACGTTTCAGTTTTTCGCTATTTCACCGTGCACATTAAATTTTATCACAAATCTACTTCTTATCCTTTAGAAGAAAATATCAACGAGGCTGAACTTAAACATTAGTGCATTATGTTCCTAAAATCACTATGTTTTGTCCGTCTTCTCTTTTTCTGTATTACCCCAAGCAGCCTTTGTATGGCCGCAGTCCCCCTTCCTGAATGTTGACTGTACATATATATATATCCAATAAATAAAAAAGGAAGTGAAAAGACATTTATTCATTCAAATATGAACGACTGGCTAAAAAGGCTTCACAGACATGTAAATTCAGATAGAGCAGGAAGAATTTAGAAGAGTTCTGGATAGATGTTCTGTTGTTGATGATAATTTTTGAATACCGTTCAGGTGCAGACGGCGATGGGAAAACACTCACGTTGAAATCAGTTGGTTGTGATGTATTAGTCGAATGGCGTATCCATGTACAGCGTTCCGGTTATGGGATAAAAACCACAGATAAATAAGTGAAAAGTTACTGATGAGAAACAGTATGTTAGATATTAGTGTCATCTGCATACCTGAACGGGTAATTACTAGATGATTTAGTACGATAATAGAGGTAGATTGGGAATCATTAAGGGGAGAGTACTCTTCCTTGGGGGAAAAATCTACTGTTGCCTACAAGCGATTTGGATGAGTTCCGTGTATTGAGTCTAATGGGAGAAATATTTCTTAAGCCAAAGAAGCGAATAATGGGACCCTCAGGAATCACAACTTCTCGAGTGCGCGAGGGAAAGAGGAACATGGTGGTCAAGTAGTTAAGGTTTTCAGCATAGTGACCCGGAGGTCCTGAGTTCGAACCGCGCCACCGCCGCCCATCGTCAATGTGCATGTATTTCCTCTAGCAACATTTGTAATTTCGCGGCTCCCTTCCTGATAATTCACCGTAGGTTTGTATACTTAATAAACTAAGAACGAAGTTATTATTATTATTGAACGTAATCGGAAGATTGGCGCATAGTCGAGGGAGACACGACGCAAAAATTTAAAATAAACGTTGATCTCATAAATTGAACTAAAGAAGCCACTGCATCAAACGAACATCTTCGTCTTTTGTAAGTAGTTTTAAAAGTACCAATATGTAATGCTAAAGGTGTCGAAGAATCGCTGTGTCTATCAACATAAATTCAGAAAATCATGAACTGGGGCGAAATACGACGGTTTGAGGGCTGTTTGTGGACGTTTTCAGCTTGAGAATTATGGTTGAAGGCAGCCCAAGAATCAGATGGTTCGGTGAGCAGCAGAGTAGGAGTGAAATGGGAACTGTTGCTTAGGCTAGCGGTTCTTGCGAGGGGATGAACTGAAACCAGAAACAGGTGGCGACTTTTTACTCATAGCGTTCGAATACGCGACGGTCAAAAAGGAACTGTCAGAAGCGTTGGTGCGAGTTCCTCTGAGGATGAGCTGTGATAGCAACAAGTGAACGCAGAAAAGCCGAGTAACATTAGATTACTAATACAGAATAAGTTACCTCGATTGGTGGTAAGATGATTGTGAACAAATTATCCACCTCAGTCAGTAAAAGTAAAGCCCAATTGAGAGGGACATAAGTTGTTACATACAGAGTTCGGAAAGTGCTGGTAAAAAGTACAAAACCATAAGTCAAGTAGAAATACAATCAACCTCCTGTCATGTCGCACCCATGAGAGGTCGCATTTTCCAATATCTTTCCACTTCTTAGGAAACCTAAACCAACCGTGATTATGCAGTGTGCCCCCCACCGGTCAGTATGTCGCAATTCCTGATACCTACGCACCTGATCGTTGACCGATGTTGGAGACGGTCGTTGACCAACCAACCTGCAATGTCGCATCCAGCTAATGGCGTTTCACGTAATGTAACGCGACAATGACACTGTTCACTGATTGGATATTCGCAGGGAAGACATCGATGCCCACATCCGAAAACAGTTTAGGTTTACTCCAAAATGTGCAAGCGCCGATCGATCAGAAATCAAGCAGAATGTGTTGGAAATGCTGAATCAGCCAGTTGCAACTCAGAGCTGCTTAGCCAAATCACTTGATATTTCAAGAAAAACTGTTACCGGTGTTATAAACCATTGGAGAATTTGCATCTCAGGAAAGATACCACTTGAAAATGAACGAAAAGTTCGAGACAGCAAATGAGGTGACTTTGGCCTAGTTTACTGCTATGAGGGAAAAGCACGGTGAATTCCGGTGGTGTTCGGAATAGGAATCGAAATCGAATAGCGCGAACTCGGTATCGGACTGAATAGCGCAAAGTCAGGCAGAACCAAGACGAGCTGTGGATACAGTTAATTCTATTCAGAAAATCATGGAAATATATATTACAAGCAACAAACAATCATTGGTCGACTCTTGAATGTCCAATCGACAAGGATATGGTTTATCTGTTTGCCTTCTTGCACTCAGCCAATCCGGATGATGCCAATTGAGACCACAGGGTTGGTCGGTTATCCCGCTTCATGATTGGTTACCTGGAAACTGTACCGCGGTGCGTGCGTACTCGTTACACGATCACCACAATTCCTTATGTTGGAGAGCAGCCAAAAGACAGCAACCGAAACCGGCGCACGATAGTGCATAGTTAATGATTGTATAAACTGAAACTGAAATTTGTAAGAAAGCAATCCAGCAAGCACAAAGAATACATCAAGCCTTCCAAAGGTTGGTGTCGCTCTTGGTCATACAATTGTGGAATTCAAACCTACAAAGTAACAGACAAACAACTACTTATGCGCACTACTTTGTGGGATTGTGGGGGAAGTTTGGCCCTATCACGTGATGCAACGGACGAGTTTCCAGCGGGCTTAACGCAGTTGATCCATGGATATGCTGACTGACATTTTCAGTGAAGATGAAACAGTTTTGTATTACAGGCAGAATCCCAGAAAGAACATTGATTGCCAAAGGAAAAACAATGAATGAATCCAAAAAATACGAAGAAAGGGTCTCTGGGCTGCTGTAAGGGAGCATGCTGAGAGAAAAGTTATCATAGCTAATTCTTAGGAGATTTCATACTCCACGGTATCTCCGAGGTGTGGGTAGAAAAGCCTTTCCTGCAGTCATAGTTCTTTAAGGAACACATGGATGCGTTATTTCACAGTTGGCTGTCCAACGTCAAGATGGTTTCTCAAAATTACCGTATTTTATTTTTAATGCATCAAGACCAAACGATGTTAGGAGTGTATCGAAAAATTGATGCGCCATGTGTTGTTTATTGTGAATGTTATAATGTTAACACATCGATCTCGGTAGGGGATTGTAGTTACCGACGTTTCGGTTACCGTAGGTAACCTTTCTCAAGACAGGTTTACAATCAAATGACTCAGAGGAAAGGATCACAAGTCAACGGATATTTTATCGTGTCATTTGATTGTAAACCTGCCTTGAGAAAGGTTACCCACGATAACCGAAACGTCGGTAAACATATTTCTCTACCGACATCGCTGTGTTATTAACAGTATAACATTCACAATACTCCCTATTTCATTGTTTACCATGACATTGTCGCAGTATTCCGTAATATCAAATTACTATGGCTGCCTCTGAACTGTTTTCCAATGTCATAACTAATGGATCAGGGTGTAATTTGGTCTTTCAAATGTTCGTTTCGGAAATGTATTTTTCTTTGATCGAAGATGAGCACCTTAGCATGAAAGCCGAAGTGGACATCCTCATGGGCATGAATCTGGTCAAGAAAGCTTGGGTAACCGTATATCCGCACGTAGTGATCAACGCATCCATAAAATCTGGGTTCAAACCCATATTGAATCAACCGATGATGCAGCCACTAGAGGATGAATGCGATTTAATTGAAAAATTTACTTACTATATCCATTGATGGTCATTTTGAAGAAGAAATCGCCTGTTTATAATTAGATGAGGAAAAAGTGGGTTATTCAAAAACCCCGAAAAACTACCTAACTCGGGGCATAAAACACAGTCGATCTCCTGCATCTCTCAGGAATCCCAAGAGTGGAGTTTTTTTAGTCATTGGATGAACTCGCTTCGAACCAAGATGAACGTCCCACAGAAGAATATGAATGTGAAGTAGTCAATGCACCCGATGCTATCCCAATTAGTGGAGCGCAGAAGTTACTGCATCAATTGAAGCTTTTGCCTTCGATAATGCTTGGATTTCGGGTAGATTACTAGTGTACAATTGGGTTAAACAGCGCGTTTGTTGATTTCCAAAGGAGAACCAAGCTGAGACAAATGACAACTTACGATTTTGCAAAAAATACATCTTTGTATTCTGCAAAGATTTTTCCCTGTAATTCTATGGGGCACTCAGATGTGGTCATCTTATTACCAAAGCCACGGCCATTTGGTCTCTGCCGCACTAGCGTCCAAACGGGTTGACGATAATGGCGACTGACCGGTAAGTCTGTGTGTGGAGTAAGATGTCAAATCCAAGCGATCGATAACCGCCGTTGCGCGGACATGCCTGTGCCAATGAATGTTAATCGCACTTGCCCTTGTTAGA